ACATAAATTTTATATAAAAATATTGTACTTATCCCATTGCAGTAGCCGGTAAACATATATAATTCAGATGAAATTTAAGGATTTGATTCACAACGACATTTTCATGGGCTGTGACAAATTTAAATCAAGAGAAATCTGTTTCTTTTTTCATTGTTAAATTGTTATTTATTAATTATCCAATAATACTAAAATGAACCACCCAACTAAAAAATAAAAAATAATTAGTACATGATCTGATTTAACATACCTTTTGACAATTGTTTGATTTAGTTATTAAAATATAATATAAATATATGTTAGTTCTTGAATACTGTACGTATGACTGTATCTCTAAATTTATATATTTTTAATTTCAAATAAAAAATATTAGTTTTTAAATAAATATATTATATAATATATTAAATCAAGTAGTATAAAAATAAGTGTCAAAAAATTAATACTAGGATAGAAGGAATATGAATTTTTATCACTAAAGGTACCTGAATTAGGACTACAATAGTTTGGATTGTCCCGTAGAAAGTATTTATTAAGACTCTTAAGAAACTAAAAAGATTTTCTTTTCTTTTCTTTTCTTTTTTGATATTTTGTAATATTAAAAAAAATCTTATTTTTTGTAATATAAATGCCAAACTGTGGTTCTATAAGGTATCATTTTCAAAGTTTCATTGTTTTTTACTAAATTTATTAGTATTCAAAAGTTGCAATGAACTTCTACTATTCTGTAGTCAAGGTGGGTCAAGATCCATAGCAAGAAAAGCTTTTCTAATAATTATTTCTTCATTTATAAATTTTAAATTTAAAACTTTATTTAAAGAAGATTAAACTTCTTCTATTCAAACTAATAGGTTTTTGATGTTTTCAAAGTTTCTTTTGGTTCATTTGAGTGTCGCCAATTTGTAAACAACAATTCACTATTTCCCTTCACCCCATTTCTATACAACGGTAAATGGAAAAGAAACCATCAAAAAAGAGACCAAAAAAGGAGAAAAGGAGGAGGAAGGAACCTGGTCTCTATTTCTTTTTTCCCTTTTCTTTTTTTTTTATAGGAAAAAAATAAGAAAGAAAAAAGGGCCAAGCTGCCTTTAATTTGGATTATCTTGACTATCTTGATTTTTCTTGGCCGAGTCCTGACTATATTGTTAACTAATTAATCTAGTCTTGACTGTCTTTCCTTTTTTTTTCTTTTTTATTTTTTTTAACTTTCTTTTATAATATTTAATTGCACAATTGAAGATAATTTTTTCTTGCTCTTTAACTCTACTTCATTTATATATTATGCGATTAGAAATTAAGACTTCTTAGTTTCATAGAAAAAAAATTATCATTAAATTATTTGAATTGTTAAAATTTTGACTATCTTGTTAATTAGTAATTAATTTGTTGCTCTCCTTCCCCCCTCCCCCCCTCCTCTCTCTCTATAATTCACACAAATAGAGAACATATTTGTTGTCAGACCAAATATGATGTTTTTGGTGTCCTAAGAACCCAACACTTGGGATGATCACCAGACATCCTTACAAACCAAGCCGAGACTCATATCGATCTTTCTCTTTTCCTTTCAATATATATATATATATATATATATATATATACTGCCCACTGTGAAAATCTCTAGAAAATCTTTATTTTACTCCTACTTGTTCCAACCTTTTCTTCTGAGACAATTTTCTGTTCTTTTCACTAGAGCAAATCTCATTGGCTCATTTCTTCTTATCAATTAAGGCAAATTGGTTGTTTTGTCCCTAGCCTTTTTGATATGGAACACTTTCATCCTTAACATTCATTTTGTGACCAATTATTTCCAACCTTTAAAAATTTATCTCATGTTTGTCTAATTTTCGTTAAATATATAGCCATTAAGTCCTGATGGAGAAGCGACGTGGCCAATCGGTTAAGAGGACAAGCTTCACGTTAACATGCCGTCAATTTTAACGGTTACATTCTACCGAGGACCAATGTGGGATGATAATTTTTTTTTTACTAAACTCTATGATATTCGGAAGTCCAATTAGATTTTAACTAATTTAAAATTAAATTATGTTAGATTCTAGAAAACTAAGTTCTCTAACACTTGTCTCTTCATTTATAAAATTTGAATTTAAAATAATATATAAAGAAATATGAGTTTTTTCTATTTAGATCAATAAATTATTAGTTATAATTTTTTTATACAAATGTGAAATGATAATTTTAAAAAGATTTGAGACCACTACTGACACAAAATGAAATTAATGATAAATAAATATTCTATATACTTTATAAAAGAAGGAAAAATTCTATCAATTCAAAAAAGTGATGTATAGTCTATCCAAAATAAGTCTCATATTAATTACTATCATTCTTCTATTAGGTGGACCCGCCTATCCAATTAATAGACTATGGATTAACTCCTAGCGCAAACTGATGCTGGTGGTTAGTTAATGGAGTTTCAAGAC